ATTTAATATTCATCACTAGTGCGAAAAAATAATAATGTGACGTCAGCGAAAGGGTGGATGCTGTCAAATCGAGAAAGGGGGGACAAGCGGTCCGCGGAAGGCGCCACCTTTGTTTCGCTGCATCGTGATTTTGTATGGGAGACGGTATTGTATTGTGACGAAAATGTGAATATTTAACACATTTCTTTTAATCTGGCTACGTTTCTGTTGTTAGTTTTCGAAGAAAAATTTGAGAAATATGTTATTTTTCTGTATAAATAATGTGTTTTTTAGAACACACGCTATGGTCCTTAATTTTGAATGTATGCAAAAAGGATTGCTGAGGTACAAAGCTTGTATGATTATTCTAAAAGGGCTTTTGTAGGTGGACGCAAGTAATTCTTGTTATGTTTCTTGTTACATCAGGTAGTTCAAAACTTGAACAAAACTTAAGAACTGGTAGGCAAAAAAGTACTTAAGCTCTAATATTTACTTGAATCCATGTAGTGAGAACATGGAGACTGAAGAGATAAAATGTTTTTATAACCAAGTGTTACGCAACGAAATAACATTTATAAAAGTGAAAATGACAAATGGTGAATGGCTTACTCCACGAAAACTTAGTGCACTTGATACATTCGCCACAAGTTAGAAGATTTAGGAGAGGAAAATAGTGACGACGAGCATTTCGTATCTGAATAGATTGTAGACGATAACGAAGATGATGTAACTCCAGTTCACTCCGATATAGAAGAAATCGAGTTATCAGAATACGATCCGGAAGATCATGAAGAACTTGACGATATACCGGGGAAACTATACTGCCAAGGAAGGAACAATTTGAGCTGCTCCACTACCACAAACTGCCAGATTCCCAACCCACAACATACTCAGGTCTGCAAATATGGACCAGTACATGCCGACGAAAAATAAATCAGTTTGGGTATTTTCAAGAATGTGTTAGAAAACCGAAATAAAAGGTTTTAAGCAGCAGGCGCTATTGAAATTAGATTAAAACTTGCAGAATATTCAACCAAGCTGCCTTTGGCATTTTCTTATAATATTCTGGATGTGGCTGTCCTTATTATGTACATAATTTACTTCGAGAATTGCACACACCTGAAGGCCTTTAAAATCCGAAATAGTATGTTCCTTCATCAACTTAGTGAGCAACTGGCGAAACCTGAAACAGAAGTGAGAGCTACTAATAGTCGAGTAACCAGAATATTTTCTGCACGCAACGTCATTGAAGCATTAAACGGCGGTTTTTTGAGGATAATGGATGTTGCGGTGACAGTGCGGGCAGAATAAAAACAAAGGGTAATTGTTCAATATACGTCCAACAAGGAAAACCTGCATATTGTGCAAAAGACCCGTGTGTGCAGAACATTCTACTAATACGCCTCAATGCAATATCTAGGTGTTGTTAAAAAGTTAGTAATTTTCAATTTATTGATATATTTTATTTTACAAGTCTTATATATATAATATATATGTATATAATATCATTATATTCTTGTATTATTTTAAAAAATTTATTCGGAATAAAGATTATTTTTCTAATGTATCAACATACATATTTGCATGCGATTTCATATACATCCCGGGCATGTATATGAAATCGCATGCAAAAAATTTCATTGAAATCAGTTAAGCGGTTTCGGAGATTAGCGTAAACGAACGGAGTCCATTTTTATATATTAAGATAAGCACGATGCGAGAAGCATAGAAACTCTTTGATGAAAAAAAATGTTTTCTCGGTTTCACAACTATCCTTTCGTTTAAGTTGGAACCAATATTACACACCCACAAAGCATAGAAAAAATGTCGATGAAAAAAATATATTTTTTCTCGAATTCAAAACTATCCTATCTTTTAAGTTGGAACCAACAATACACACCCACAAAATTTCATTGAAATCGGTTAAGCGGTTTCGGAGATTAGCTTAAACGAACACAGTGACATGGGATTTTTATATATTAAGATGAGCTCTTATCTTTTAACTCTGACAGCCGCACTCAGAATATAATAATAATAATAATAATAGATTGGCGCTTACACATATTTTAGCGTTTCTCCGAGCTTCTCCTCCGACTTGTGGCGTGCGCCTTTGTGTTGTCACACAGTTTTACGCCGACTCCGAACGGCGATTGTATTTTTATGAGAAGCTGTTTTTCAAGGCAGAAATACACTCGGAGGTTTGCCATTTCCTGCCGAGGGACGACCGCCGTTAAGAAAAAAACGTTTTTCTATATTTTTTGCGATATTGCTTTTTCCAGGGCTTGAACCCAGATTCTGATGAGTGAAAGCGCGCACTTACAACTACCACACAGCGACCGACTCAGAAACGTTCATTAAATTAGCTCTAACGGGCAGTAAAATAATGATCGCTAAACCTGTTAAGTAATGTTTCCTCTCAGAGTTAAAAGATAGGGGCTCATTTGTAAATGAAAAATTTAAGTATGGCCCCAGTTGCGGATCTCTCGAATGGCACCCCAGTGCTCTGCTCACTGTTAAAGAATCGTTAGCGAAATTGATATTTATTGAAAACAAAAAATTTCATAATCATTCGTTAAAGAGTTAATTAATGATTTTCTTCACGTAACTTTAATGTTCATTAAATCCTATTAATGAACCACTAACTCTTAATTTTTTATTCCAAATTTTCATTTTATATTAAAACTAGCCAATGCCCGCTTGCTTCCCGGCGCCTAATAAGATCTTTTGCGTTGGCCAATACAAAAATAGCGTGTAAAAGCAAAATCGATCTGTAAAGTAAAATTTTATAATTTCAATTGAAACGAATAAAGAGCAGAAGCCCCTCACACATAGGCCAATAATAGTGGCGCTGTGATAGCACATGGAATTCTAATCCCTTTCGATGTCATGAGTTTTACCGATGGTCTTATTTGTACCTGTGAGGTCTCTGCCAAGTGTGCGTAATATTCTTCTATGATCTTGCAACTTCAACATTGGTCCGTAAACCATGTAAGCCAATAAAAGTCCTTATAAGGAAACTAAAGAGCACAGATGAACGTTTTCAGTTATAGGAGGGTCAAAAATACTCGCCCCCACAGGATGAAAAGTTTTCACGTACATTGACTAAATGAGTCGTGTGATCTCTTAAATATCGTTCAAATGAAGCCATTGATATACCTACCGGGTTCCTTTTTTTACGGATGTGGTCGAATCTTTCCTTATCAATTTGCCGAGCAATTTCGTCAATCGGAGATAGGAGCAAGATCACATTTAGGTTGTATGAGGGCGTCAGACAAATGTGCGCTTACACAATGTTGTGGTCTTTACATGCATACGTACACGAATCCTAAATTTAGCCATATGAAAGGTAAATTCATCTAAGATGAATATAGGCTTAAAGCAGACCAAACCCCGTGTTGGTTTCTATATATTTCGGCGGCAGCGCAATCCATTACGTCCCTTTTCTGCAAAACCACTGCTTTTCATGAAGTAAATACGCATTATGAATTTGAATCAGATTTTATAAAATATAGCGGGTTCATTTTTTGGAAACGAATTTTTCATCATACATGTAGCTCACTTTACGAATTCGAACGAAATCGATTAATAAATAAGACTTTTATAAGAAACTCTGCTCCAGCACCACCAGCGTGTTGTCTAGTTGGCTATAATAGGACCATATATGCAAGGTATAACCTCCGACAATTTGACTGGTTTTTGAGTGTAGTCCGAACAACGATAAGTGCTATCATTTTATGAATGTATGTACATATAAGTATGTTTCGAATGAAAAAAAAAAATCATGAAAGAAATAAACGTTTCGAATTTGCATTAACAAAATCAGTTCATAAATAGGACTTTTATCGGGTTCGTTGTTCGCAAATGCTTTTTTCATCATGCAGGTAGCTTATACTTTGAATTTGAACGAAATCGGTTCATAAATATGACTTTTATAAATAACCCGACTCCCGCGCCACCTAGCAGATCTATTTTTGGTAAACGTATTAATCTTCATGCTGGTAGCTTACTTTTTTAATTGAAAAGAAATCGGTGAATAAATACGATTTTTATAAATAACTCGTCTCCAGGGCCATCTAGCGGATCTATTTTTCGCATATGTATTTCTCATAATGAAGGTAGTATACAGTTTAATTTTCAACGAAATCGGTTCATAAATACGACTTTTATAAACAACTGGACCCCAGCGCCACCCAGCGAGTTTTCTGGTAGCCTAAAATAGGACCATATATGCAAGGTATGACCTCTGAAAACTTTACTGAAATCTATGCAGTAGTTTTTGAGTTAACTCAGAACAACGAAAACGGCTATTATTTTATATATATAGAATATCGTTTTATATGAAATAAATTAATTAAATATAATATCAATACATATCTTTTATTTCACTTTTGGCAGTTGTCCTTAAACCTAACTATATAAAATTAAAAATCAAATCAATTACGTATTTTTAAGAAAAACATACATATTTTATTAAAATATTTTGGCAGGTATTCCTTTGAAAATTATGTCAAATAACCCTATTGCGTCGATGTATAAGGTTGGTAGTACTGATAAATTTGTTGCATGCGAAGCATAATCAGCCTTAAGGTTTGCAAAGTTGTGTTACATTGTAAGAAGTTGTGCGAAGTTATGCGAGGTATGCATAATCAGACCTTTAAGTTGGGCATCGAAAAGCTCACGAGTATACCGAGGTTTTCGATACACGAGAATCTCGTGACATAGCGTTCCTCGCCAGAAATTGTTTCTCGAGCAATCTCGCGAAATCGAAGGCTCTACTTAAAAGTAAGAACTAAGACTTATAGCGTTCTCTTTTCTTCAAAATATGTTCTCTTTTTATTGCCCACTTCTTAGTATATTGCCCCCTTCTTAGTATTTATGCAAAGAGAGCAATGAGAAAGTAAAAATTTTTCGTAGAAAGGAAAATTTCGTTAGATTTTGCAGTAGTCAGTTCATGTGTAGTTATTTGTTGTTAGTGTTTTATGGCTTCAAATTAATCAATGCTTTCTTTATATAAAACAACAATGCATTCACAGGACCGTTCGGTAAGTTAGCGTATTTGCTAATTACATATATATACAAATTTGAAAGTGTTTTAATAATGCCATTTTTTCATAATTGGTTTTTGTTTTTAAACAGGACTTCTATGTACGCCGGGTAAGTCTATAACTATTTTAAATTCTATTTTGGTTTCCGTTCTGAAATGTAAAACATTTTCCTCTATTTTTATCTGTATAGATGTTAGAAAAATCCCATTCTTTTTATATTGAGACCTTATCCAAACGTTTCCCTGAGAACCTTTTCCTACCTACAGTCCCAACCCAACCTTACATTCCTCCTTTTTTCCTTAAGGACACTAGCACGTCATCAGTAGGCGATGCAGAAGGGGACACAAAAGCTCTAACACCGGAAGAAGTGGTGACCAATGTCGCCACCGACATTTTGAATAGACTACCTAAGGATTTTGATCGCGATGCTGCAATTGCTCGCTATCCCACGAGCTATCATCAGAGCATGAATACGGTACTTGTGCAGGAGATGACACGTTTCAATGTTCTACTAAGCACCATTCGGTCCAGTCTGATTACATTACGTAAAGCGATTAAGGGTAAGTAAAAAATAAAAAATCTAAAGCTGAGATCCCACGATTGCCGCAAATGGACCAATCTGGAACAATTTTTATTGTGCTGTATTGGAGCACAATAAAAAAATTGTCCCAATGAAATTCTGTACAGTCACACGGTTGCCTCTTTTTATACAATTCTCATTGCCGTAAGTTGGCGAAAAGCAATATAGTGACAATAATTGCCCCAAACTTATCACACGATTGTTCGAGCATGCGGCAATTGTGACCATAAAGTGTTGCGCTGACCTCTAAATTCTGTTTTTTTCTCTGTTGTGTAAAAATGGCGTATTCTTAATAAAAAAATAAATCAATTGCATCTGCTTTGTATATTGCGGGCTCATTTAGTGCAAATTTGTTGTTGTTTGAAAGCAAAGAAGCAAAAACTTGTGCCCAACGAAAACTCACGCATTTATTTAGAAGTTTGATTGTATAGTTTTTTTATTTTTCGACGATAACTGCAACGTGCTATGTGGAGTTCAAGTTGCAACAGTTTTCTTTTTAATTTTGTTACGTAGAGGTTTTTTTATTCATTACAAGTAAAATTGGTACAAAAGAGTTATGTTTGTTTAAATGAAAGCTGCGAATTTACATAATTTATGTTTGGAATTAAATTTTATAATTATATGTACAGCTCGCAACAAAAGATAGCACCTTAACATTTTGATCAGTCTTGACTTTTTTCTTCTGTTGTTTAATGTTAATTTTTTCCTATAAAACCATAGCTCATTGTCTAGTAAAAACCACATAAGTCCAAATTCCAAACTTTATACAAAAATTATAAACATTTCTTAAAATTTTGATCACAATTCAATGGTTTTTAATTTGGGTTTCTAGAAAAAATTTTGTTTTGCAGTTTACAAAGTAATTTACAGAGAAGAAAGTGCATAATACCGTCAGCTAAAAAAATTATAAAAAATCAACAGGATCTTTTAGCAACTTCAAACCTCCACCTTATTGTACTAAATTTTAATGAGCTACAAAACTAAATAACCATTTTTTTCTAGAAATCCAAATTATAAACCGTGGGATTGTGTTCAAAAGTTTAAGAAATTTTTATAATTTTTGTATAAAGCTTGCAATTTGGATTTATGCAGTTTTTGTTAGACAATGAGCTATACTTTTATACGAAAATAATGAAGATTAAATAAGTAGAAGAAAAATAGTCAAGACTGGTCAAAATGTTGAGGTTCTACTGCTTTGTCGTGGGCTGTATTGAACTTTTAAGTTTTTTTTTTAAAAAATTTATACTGTCATGGCAGTCCGCCATTTGGTGACATAAAATACCTTTCGTATTCTTCTCGTATGAGTTTTGCTTGTGGTGGTATATATCGCGGCAAAGATTCCGTTATCGGACTTCAAGAAAAATTATAATTTCACTACAAATTAAATTAAAAGTTATGTTGCTTCCGAAAACAAGGATATTAATTTCAGTGATTTTTGGACACATAAGGAAGCAAACAAGTAAATTATTAATAAACAGCCTAAATATTGATGTGTATTGTTCACTTCAATTGCCGCACAAGAATACAATAAATATTGCCGCAATTTTGAAATTTTCATTGCCCCATGATTGCCAATCGAGCTATCACACGATTGCCGCACACGTGCCGTATTTGATTGGGCACAGTAAGCACAATATCGGCCTCTATTGCCGCATGAGTCAATGTATTGTGAAATCACACGATTGGGGCATAAAATGAGGCAATAATTGGTGTATTGCGGCAATCGTGGGATCCCAGCTTTACCCATGTACATATGTAGTATTCCATTATTCGCCTTTTCCAAAACCGGTTTTCGTGTTACTCAAAAAACCCGATAAACGGGGTTTATTTTGCATAGTTTTTATGCAGTGGAAATACTTAGCCTGGTATGAAGTCATGACCAAAAAATTAAATAAAACTATAAACAGTAAAGATAGCTGTCCGGTAGAAAAAAAAAGAAAAATTAGTAGTTTTTTTTTTTTATCAAAATTAAAACAAATAAAAACCAGTAAAGAGTTTTTGCTTGGTCTTTTTTTTTAATACTTGATTGCATTTTTTCTGTCTTATTTCGGTTTTGAGTAGTGCTCTTGCTGTAGCCGGGTGCTTAAAGGTGCCTACTGCCGCCCGGGAGATCCCTGATTTATTTTGTGGTTCTAGCAACATCGACAGAAGTTTTTTTCAAGAAGCTGTCCCCCCGGCAGACAATGGCAAACCTCCATGAATATTTCTGCCATAAAAAAGCAGAGCACGAATGGGAAGAGAAGCTCTGCCAAACACGCCAAGCATTCGCTTGTTGGAATCAAGTCAAGGTCAAGGGATGCCCGTGCATAGTCTCAAAATTATATCCAACATGATATACTGTTCATTCCCAAATAACCTAGGATATAATTTTGAGACTATGCACGGGCACCTGCAAAACTTCGAAAATCATAAAAGTTTTATTCATAGGTCAAATTTGGGATGAAATGAAAAAATCAGTAGATTGAAATAAGAGCACAACTTAAAGCCTTTCTCGAATTAAAAAAGAGCTGCTAAATCACTTATTCTGCTCAACAGCTCCTGTACGTCGCCTTATCATGAGTAACATCGATTCAAGGGCTACATCTTGTTTCAAAAAAAAAAAAAAAAAAAGATTATAGAAAATTGTATAATGGGCGGAGAGCACAATTGAATTGCAGGCTGAATTTCAAAGGCTGCATCTGAATCGACTTGAAACAATTTAAAAAGTATTATATGATTTTATATTGCAAGTAAAGGGTGGCCCTATTCATTCCCAAAGTTTCGCGCTCCCGTACGGGATCTTTAATTAGACAGAATAGCATCATCGGAATTTTCTACTTCTTTCAGAGACGTGGGTGGATATTAAGAAAGCTTTAGACCAGGGCCGGCGAACCTTTATACATAAACGCGCCATTATTTCCAAAGAATTATTCTATGTAGCCATGACGTGCCAAACAGAAGTCATGACTTATCACCATTCGTGGAGACATAGGTGAAAAAATTAAAAAAAAAAACGAATTAAGCGTCTCTTAAATGTCTCTGTGTACCTTGTGACAGCTTATACAGACTTCTAAAATGTCTGGAATTAAATTCCAAGTTAGTTTTTATTTTTTGTAAATTTCGATATGAAATTCAAAGAATTAAAATCTTTCACTTAAATTGCTTTCGTGAAATTGGCTGTTAGTATTAGCAAATTTAAACAAGTTCATTTGCTTATTGTTGCTCATTATTGTGGCTTATTAACATTTTATTTTAATATTGTTATTGAGCTCAGTTCATGGGCGTAGCCAGGTAGGGGCAGGGGGAGGGCCCTTTATTTAGCATAAATGAATATACCAGCATAAAAATCTGCATACTCAAAATGTTCAATACATCCTCATATTTATACGTACCTATGTATATAATTTAAGAGAAGATATTTCGCTGCAAAGCAATGATTATAAATTATTAGTTTACCTTACAAAATTGCGGAGGAATATTACAGAGTATACGAAAAAAAGTTTATTTCTTTACATTTTATATTTTGAATAACGTCTGGTCCGGCTATTTGATTTACTATACAGGTATGTAGAGCTATGAATTTAAAAAATACATCAGGGTTTAGTTGAGATATTCGCTTTTGCCCACACACATTTCCCAGTACTGCAAAGCTTTTGACTGCCATTCAACTGGGAGTGGCCCACGTGCGCTGGGTTTGGGTCCCGCCACGTTAAAACCCTGCCCAATGAAAAAAAAATACATGCCTCGGATGTCACCCCCTTCTTTTGATGACGATCACGGCAAACATAGGAAGGACTATGATTTTAGGGTATGCGCTTGGAATATCCGAACCCTTAATCGGGATGGTGCCTCTGCCCGGCTGGTTGATGTCCTAGGGAAAATAGAGGCTGACATCACCGCCATCCACGAAATGCGATGGACGGGGCGAGGAAGGTAAGCGTGGAGCCTTGCGACGTCTACTACAGTTGCCACGTAAAGGAGTGCAATTCGGTGTTGGATTTGTGGTGGGAGAGAGACCGGCGTTCACTCTAGTGGACGAAAGTCTAGCCACAATCCGCATCAAAGCGAGATTCTTCAACATCTCATTCATATGTGCCAATGCTCCGATGGAAGAGAGGGACGAGGCATCCAAGGCTTTGTTTGCTTAGAGCGTACATATTAGCTGAGGGTGATCGATTTCGCCGGGGCCCGAAACTTGGCAGTATGTATTACTGGGTTCTAGCATAAATAGATCCATCAAGCTACATGGATGTCTCCACATCGAAAAACGGGAAACCATGTTTTCACGTTTTAGATGTACATACGTACACTCCGAGGGCCAAACGTCGACCGTCACTACTATATTGATGCATTCACTATACGATCCAACCTCGGAGCAGCAAACCCCCAACAATCCAAGGAAAGTTCAACGTCGAAAAGCTGCAATCAAAACAGACGGCCAATGGATTCGGCGCTCGACCCTCACACCTGCTGTGAGAGAGCACTTTTCAACAAACCTTGCGAGTTCAGTGGAGCAACATTTCCCGCTCATTACTGGTACGATGAGGAGTGTAAGACAATGCTTGAAATGCTGGCCGACAGAAAAAACACCCGAAATTTTTGGCAGAGAGTTGAGCGACTTACGGAAGGTTTCAAGACTCTTGTAGGAACAACCATGGCGACCTAGTGACCGATGTCCAGAACGTACTCAGATTATGGAGGGAACACTTTTCGACCCTTTTGAGTGGCAGAAGCACTGAAAGAAGTGTAGAAGACGAACCCGAGGTCCCAGTCGATGGAGTCGATATCCCAGCGCCTGACTATGACGAAAAGTGCCAAAGCTGCTTGAGCTGACGGCCTGTCAGCTGAGCTATTTAATTACAATGGCAAGGAAGTAATAAGGTGCATGCCCGACGACTGGAATACATGTGCGCTCTGTCCAATCCACAAGAAAGGCGACCCCACCATGCGTGCCAACTTCCGCGGGATCAGCCTTCTAAACATAGGTTGCAAGATATTATC